ATCTCCTAATCAGACATATTATATACAAGATGTTTTATTTTTGATAAAGTCACATCCATGTTAGGTAACTATTATTGGCATCCTCATTTTGACTTACAACTTGAACAACCTATTGGGAATCTCGTTCATTCCATGATGAATGTTCACCCTGCAAATACTTGAAATATACGGAGTGGACGAAAAATCAATGGTCTTCTAATAATTTCCCAAGAGTAGTATGTGCAGATTCTTTTGGCCCATTTTATTTACCCTGTTTCATAACGACATTATATTCAATGAAAATAATTTGAACCATTCGATGTAGTATATTTTTGATAATATGCAGGTATCATAGGTTTTTCAGGTGATAGTGACACAATCATCAATGTCTTCCGGCATTGAATGCGATCCACAATTTATTGTTATTTCTTGGGATTACGGATGCTTGAGTGAATTCTCATTCGTAAAAATCCATGAGCGTTCGTATTTGAATTGAAATTGATTTTCATCGTGATATCATATACATCTTTCATATGAGATCCTGCCAATTTCACCTGGTAGGTTTTCTGCTTCTATATCGTGGCTTATACTAAATTGACTCTGATAGCCTTTTCTAACATCAAATTGGCTAATTATACATTGGCGTCTCTTGAGTCAAACAGACATACATACAAAAATACATATAAAGATGAACCCAACTATCTAAAATACATACCTAAAATGTAACAAACAATACTATCTGGTTGGTTTATAAGGTAGTATGAAAATCAACACGATGGCATAGTTATTATATTTGAAAAGTACTCCTGACTTTATAGCCGAGTTTATAACGTACTCAATAAAAATAGAAGCAGCTATATTAGTTTCAATAAACATAAATATATAAATTATTCCAGATTTTTTGGGATTTTCTCACCTCGTTTCTATAAAATAAAAATATGAGTATCATTTCAATATACGTGTAGTAAGGACAAATCAGATGATTTGCCCCAAAGATGTCACTATCAAAGAGCCTAAAACAAAAATTCACCAGTATATAATGATGAATATTTCACCTCCTCAATTAACCTACAGACAGTATTTAACAAATGAATATATAAATCAGTTGGAAACATACACACATATCATCATGAAATCATGGTAATATAAAATAATAGAATATTGAGTGAGGACGAATGATAAATTCTTACAAATGCCGAATGAATCTTTGATTTCATTCAATTACGGTGATCTCTTCTCATGATGGACTCCATGTTCATCTTGATCATGTTGAGATTGCTCTGGTTCAAATAATGTAATATGGCAGGCACATAGCAACTATATTCATCTGTTTAACATTGTCATTCGCAACTATTGCATCTGTCAAGTTCTTATAGAAGTCAAAGTAATAATTATTTGAAAAATGGCTAATCGTAGCCGATTGAATTGTTTTACGTGTCATTCAGCATTCAATATACAAAATATGGTACGACTTGAGGGAGAACCAAATGAAATGAAGCGAGAAATCGCTATTGAAAGGCGAGACCAAAGGGGACTTCCACATCTCGAATTTATGGATCTAACATGTTATTAAAAATATACTGCATCGAATGGTTCAAATTAGTTTTATTGATTATAATGTCGTTATGAAACAGGGTCAATAAAATGGGTCACAAGAATCTGCACATACTACTCTTGAGAAGTTATTAGCAAAGACCATTGATTTTTCATCCACTCCGTATATTTCACGGATCTGCAGAGTGGACATTCATCATAGGTTGTTCAAGTTGTAAGTCATATTGAGGATGCCAATAATAAGTACCTAACATGGATGTGAATTTATCAAAAATAGAACATCTTGTATATAATATATCTGATTAGGAGATGCTTATATCATGAAATGGGGATGATATTTGTATACAACAGAATTTAAATGAAATTCCACCGCACACTTTTCAGAAAATCACTGAATTATTCGCTATGTTCCGACCAACCCTGTATATTGTTGGTACGTGCAGGAATCATTATACTTTATAGTAGATTCGTATTGGTCATTCGAACAATCAATGCACAGTTGATTTGGTTTCGAAATTATGAAAGGTGTCTTCACAATGTCTATCTAAAATTCTTCAAAAGTCAACTTTATCACCCTATATAATCGTAACTGTTGATTATAGAGCGTTGGTGCAATGGAGACATTTGATCAGCACCACGAGTTCTACAATATATCAAAAATTCGAGTAAATTCACCGAAAGCCAATTTCCCATTGATGCGGTGCGGGGTCCTTTATAAAATAAAACCCTATGCGGATTGCAACTGTAAGGTAAAATTATTTCACCTTACTAAAATACAAAAATAACTGATTAATACTGATAATTTAGTTTTGGTCTCGGTTTTGGTAGGTTGTGATGCAAAAACAATAAGCTTTCTGCCCTATCAGGATTTAGCCTGCTACGTTTTGCATCATAAATATAACCAGCTTCAGAGAAAACTTGTTAACGGCCGATAGACAGATATATCGGTATTTGAAATATCGGTATCGGCCGATTATCGGTATCGGCTAAAATTTCTATATCAGTCGATTCCTAAATATCATAAAACAATAAGAAGTAGATTGTTATGTATGCACATTTGTATAAATGAACAAAATCAATAGAACATAATATGTCAGTGATGGGGACTGTAAGAGTGAAATTCATGGTATAATTTGAAACCACCACTGTAACCTCTATCTACTGTTAAATATATGCCTCTTTCCTAATGAAACACTGAAAAGCATATCAACAGCAGTAATTCATATATTGGGCAGTATCTGGTTATACCTGTCAGTAGAAAGATTTATCATGGTGGTCATGAATTATCTATCTATATGGTAGGTTTATTTTTCTAAGATATTGAGGTAGGTATCCTATCACCCTATACCCAAAATACATGATATCTTCAATTCCAGTACCTTCTTACCAAACTGAGTAAATATACAGAGTATGTCATGACAAGCTTACACTGTCTTTATATAGAGAATCAGTTGGGAGAAATTCATGAAAATGTGCATGCTAATATTTTAGAATACTCTCTCTCCATTTAAAATATTTCCGACAATGCAGTGTTGCCGCTTCTACTAGAAAGTAGTAGCTACATTGATATTTTGAATGGAACACCCTGTATTTTATCGCATTTTTAGATTCTCCCTGAAGAGCTGATTTCATCAATGCATCACACTTGGGGTCTATTGAAAATGATAACAGAGATATAGGGTGTTCAAAATCGTGATTTTTCAACTTCAGGATTTTTTGTGGGGAAACTATTTATTATCTGCCAAAACGGCTCACATGTCCCTATCTCAACTTTTGATTCACTATTTACTGATATTTAATCAGAATAGATACAGAGTGGTTCATAATTCAGAATTCTGATCATCCTGTATCCTGTGTCTGTTCTGATTAAATATCAGTAAATAGTAAATCAAAAGTTGAGATAGAGACAAGTGAGCCGTTTCGGCCGATAATTAATAGTTTAGACACAAAAACAAATCCTAAAGTGGAAAAATCTCCAAATCAGCTCTTCAGGGAAAATCTAAAAATGCAATGAAATACAGGGTATTCTATTCAAAATAACCAAGTTTTAACTACTTTTTTATAGATTCTAAAATATAAGAATGCATATTTTCAACTGATTCTTGATAGTGTATGCTGGTCCTGATATACCCTGTATAAGATGCTGGATAAGATGAGTAGTTACCCCAATAAACTTAGCAGAACCATTTCAACGTTTCAGATTTGCAATAGTGCTATAATTTGTTACTAATTTAGTACTCATTTATTACCATAATCATGAATTTATTCAACAGAAACACAAATGGCTCTGCAACCATTATGTCAATCTAGCAGAACCATACCTAAAATTTTTTTTTGAATACTTCAAATATACCATAATTCATTACTATTTAATTACTAACTTATAACTATAATCAAGATTTTTTTCCTCATCATTGGATGGAAAAACTCAAGTTACTAATTCATAAATATTCAATTGCAAATTTATAACTCTTCATTTCAACACTTCAACTTAGCAGAACCATAACATTGAATTCAGTTTTTTGAAAACTTGAGATATATCTAAGATCTATCATATATAAAGAAACTACAAGGAAATTCAACTTGGTGTCAGAAAATGAATGCTGTAGGTAATTTATAACTAATTCATTACCTCAATAACAAATCTGCCACTTACCATTTGGAGAAGAAAATCACTGATTCATCTATTTTTATTTCAATTCAGTACCAAAACTTGAATGACATGTTCAGCAGTAATACCTATCAAAAGTGATTGCATTTTCATGATGTCTATTGATTCTTCCCTTAACAAAATTAAATTGCTTTCAGAAAACATCAAGGGTCTGCAGGACAGACTTGAGATGAATTCATTCAGAGTGGAATTTTATTAGACTACTTTACAAACAAAGTGAAAGGTAGAGGGTCTGAAATTAGGTTTACAAAAAAATAATTGTTCAGCTATGATTCTGCTTGGTTGACAAAAAGTTGCAGAGCCATTGGTTTTTTTTCTGTTGAATGAAGGGTTATAAATTTGGCTCAAAAGAATTTCATATAAAATGTGATGAGTTTTGTTTCTGCTAGCTTGAGATTGACAAAGCAGGGTTTTTTTCCATGGAATGATGATTAAAAAAGTCGTGAGTATAGTTAAAAGTTGGTAATAAAATAGTAATAAATTATGGTATATTTCAAGTTATCCAAAAAATAAATGCTTTGCTATGTTTCTGATAGGTTGACATAAAGCTAGAAGGGTGATTGTATTTTTCTCTTGAAGGAAGTGTAATAGATTTGGAAATATGGTAAAAAATTAGTATTAAATTAGTAACACATTATAACACTATTGCAAATTTGGAATATTGAAGTGGTTCTGCTAGGGTTATTGGGGTTGAATAGTTAATGTTTCAAAATAATCAGTTTGCATGCACTACTAAATACAATTATTATTAGTTTAATAGGATTAAAGTATCAGACTTTTCGATTGTTACCTTTACCTTGTCTTTTTTGTCCTGGCGAGCATAGGGAAAGCATGGAATGACTGCAGTTACTCGACTGGCGGAGGCGATTTTACAAGCATTGATCATAATGAGGAGTTCCATCAAATTATCATTCACTTCCCCAGATCCCGACTGTACTATGTAAACATCTTCCCCTCGAACGGATTCACCAATTTCCACGCTATAACAAAAAATATCCATTGAATTTCAAAAATGGACAGTTTCAACAAGTGTTGGAACAAAACAAAACATATCAATATTTACCATGTTTCTAGATTGCTAAATTTTTTGGTAACGACCTTTCCCAAATCGATTCCTAGCCGATCGACTATCCTCTGTGCCAAATCTGGATGGGAAGTCCCACTAAACACTTTTATATTCGGCATTCTTCTTGCTAGAGCTGCCGTATCAACCTCACTTTTTTGAGTTTCCTTTTCCTTGTTGTCCGTATCAAATAACTTCTTCATAGGCACCGCATGGTCAGCATGGCATTGATCATGAATCACTTCAATAATCAAGTCAAGTTATTCAGGATTCAAGTTATCAAGTTTGTGGTTTAATCTCTAACAGCTGACCTTCAACTTTGCGGCCTTTGCGCTGTTGCCAGATGAAAAAATTCGAGATATTTATTGCGTTTTCCATTGGTAAAGTCGGTGTGTACTGTAAACCAAGTGTGTGTGTCAGATTTGTGACGGGTCTCCCGTCAGCACAGTCTAGATATTTAGCCGTCATTGGTTTTGTGTATTTATTTGCACAAATTTGAAGAAACTAGCTGTCCCGGCAAACGTTCTTTTGCTATATAGGGTGTTCGTTAATGACATGCTAATATTCAAAGGAGCGACTTTTGGACCCAATTCAAGAATATAAATTCATATGAACGTATGTCGCAAACGTCCTAACTTTTGAGATACAGGGTATCAAAGTTGAACACATACATATTCTTTTTTTGCAAACGGTGCAAAAATTTCAAAATGTTACATACTGTGGTTATCCAGTAATAGTTGCCCTGAATGGGGTAATCACGCTTAACATTTACATCAAAATTTGAGGTTTGATCTCGTTTTTTCTCGAAAACGGAGCGTCCTGTCGTGTATCAACAAGAGGATCCTTTTTGTACAAAATTGTATGACTTTTTATAGCATTTTATCAAATTTGGAAATATTCCCTCGTTGCTCACTTTGAAGTATAATATAATCAAATCCTCCTAACGGCGCCACTAATAGAGGGAAGAAAAATTTGTGTACATACAGGCTGATTTTAAAATAAGTGCATATATTTTAAACACTAAGAAAGCTCGAGGTATACTACCGAATAGCACTATTAAAAATATTATTAGGATCAAAATAGATTTGGGGCAAAATACCCTTTTTCCGCCCAGATTTCTACTTCTGTCACAACTATATCGTTTGCAATCCGCAGTCGACCGTGATGAACGAAGCGACGTTGCCACTCTACATGAAAATTAGGAGATATTAAATAAAATGTATAATCGAGAAAATGTACATGGGGAGAATTAATTAACCCTGGTCTTGAATTTCAGAAAGATAATACAAAAACTTCAAAATGGACTCACCCAAGATTTCTACTCATAAGCTCGAATAGCGTATAACTTAACACCTCACGGTTGAAGTTATTTTACTGAAAAATCCTTTAGACCCTTCCTTCCACCTCCTTGCATCGCTACAATTTCGTGGTCTTCGAGGAGTCTCATGGGCCCCGCACAATAACGACCCGACATAGGAACCATATCATTCAGCTCAATGTTTGAGAAATGCATCGTCACATTCCAAGCAAATTGTCAGAAACAAAACATTGCTTTACATTCAGTGTTGTTCCTGGGTCTGATTTTTTCGTAATAGATTTTCTTGGAAAATGGTAACAGATTTGTATCAAAAGGTAATAGATCCTAAAAATCTGACATTTGACATTCTGAATGTCATTCTTGTAAAACCATATCGCACAAATTAGGCAGTTTTGGCAGGAATGAGGCAGGTCACACAGAACTTATGACATAAATATAGAACATAGACCCAGAGCAGAACATAATTATCCGCTGAACACAGAAATAGATTTTTTAGTAACAAAACATCATATTATGGTGCTAACAGTAACAAAACATCATATTTTGGTGCTAACACCCAATAGTAATAGATTCATGACAAATCGTAATATTGTAACAATCTCCGTGGAATAGTAATAAATCTATTACAAAAGTAATGACAAGGACCACACTGTTTACATTTACTAGTATCACGTTTTGACGTTTCCAAAATAACATACATTCTCAGAACAACAAACTGTCAAGAAAAGATCTTTGTTTTGATTGTTCTTATGGTGTGCTAGCAGCAAGAATTCAGATGACCATGAATTACTAATAGGCGACTTTTACGGACCAATCAGAAACAGCAAAGTAGTGCATGCGTGGTTGCGATTCATCCTGATTGGGCACAGGTGATTGAGATTAATGTATTAGTGAGGAAGGATCATATCTTTAAATGAAACTACCATTTTCATAAAAAAACTAATTTGGAAAAAACATCTATTAGTTTAATTCAATGAAATGATACTTCCTCACTAAACACTAATCTCACAAATCCAATCAGCTGTGTCCAATCAGGATGAATCGCAACCACGCAGGCGCTACTTTGCTGTTTCTGATTGGTCCGTAGAAATCGCCTATTAGTAATTCATGATCATCTGAATTCTTGCGTCCGAAACGGTCAGAAGCATGCGCAGTTTCACAGAACTGTATGATTTTTTTGGGTTCTGTGGACTTGTGCATGCTTCTGACGGTTTCGGATTGTTTATTTTCTGAACGCGAACAATCCTAGTTAGTACTGTCAAAGGTCACAGCAAAGAGGAAATCTATGGTCACAGATACTACTGTTCTGAGAAATGATGTTGACAGATCATATGATACTAGTTTTGTTTGTGGGGTTGCTGGTTTGAAAAATAATTGTAAACGTAAAATAAAAAATAAAATAATTGGATGTTGTGTCTTGTGTCATGATAATCGTGATATGGTAGTGGTCGTGATTTTCAATGTGAGATTGCCAGGAAGGATATGTCGTCGTCGAGTCGTTTTCGATGGTTTAAGTGCAAATATGAACCAACAAGAACACAGGACGATATTGGTCTGGAATGGACTCGATATTAGTATTTGTTTGCTCTCGGCGGGAGTTTTGCTGTTCAAGCAGGTATGAGAAAATCTACTAGGTGAGTCGATTTTCAACTTTGTGTATGTTGTGTACCTATTTATTGTCTGCTAATTTTGTATCTACCCGCTGAGGCCTTATTTTCGAATTGAAGGAAGGGGGACGTTCTATCATTCCCCTCATGTTTCGCTCCGTCTCTCGTGATCCATGGAGGTAATCACCCCACAGTTCTCTCAGTAAACTTTAAAAAATAAGGCTCCTGTACATATTACATTCACCTCTATTAGTTTCCATAACCTATTTCAATTCATGTTCATTCTGTGACAAATTTTTATCAGGATATTCGTCTCTGAAACAATCTGGCATCACTGTCTTGTTTTGACTTTAGTGAATGACGAATTGTGGATTCCCTAGGATTCCGCAGATTTCACTTGCTTCCCAGTGGCGTACTCGAATTTCGAAGCATTTTATGTTCAATTTTCAAAATGAAATTTCTCGTTAATGTGAAGACTTAGAAAAAATCAAATATTTTAGTAATTTTTGTTAGACTCTCTCATATATATGTCTTGAATATATGCACTCATTTTAAAATCAGCCTGTATATGTACCAAATTTCTTAAAGATGCCTACAATATTATTCCAGTTATTATTAAAAAACTGATTTTTTTCAGAACTTTATCACACGGTATCTCAAAAGCTGCGTTGAAGAATCACCCCCTTGAATATTACCATGATTTTGACGAAGGAATCATAATCTCTGACACCAAAAACATTCTGATACCAATTTTCACATCTAATCGGACCATATAATTAAAGAACTTGTCTGCTATATTGGATCCGCCATCTTGAATTTCCAAATTTTGACGAAAGAATCATAATTTTCGACCCCGCTAAACCTCCAGACACCAATTTTTGAATAGAATCGGATAATAAATACAAAAATCGTTTGCCATATTGGATCTGCCATCTTAAATTTACAAATTTCGATGACAGAATCATAACCTCCGACCCCGAAAACTCTCAGATACCAATTTTGAATAGCATCAATCATAAAATAGTTCAAGACCGATTCTCAGACCTACTGAATATGCACAAAAATTTTCCTCATGTAAATTCGTGCAAATTTGAGAATCTTACCTCAATAAATACAAAAGAAATTATGTCTTAGGGAAAATATGAATATAATGAATGAATTGGGCGTCCTGATTTCTGAGCTGTTTTCGAATTCGAAGTGATTTTTAATTTCTTCCTGAAACTATTTTCCGGAAATGTCATTGCATGGCTGTTGGCGAGTAGTGTATATCACTGAAGATGACCCCACTTGATCACAGAGTATATTTTTGGTATATCTCTCGCACCTGCAAATTTCAGAATCCTGACTCAACAATTACATAAGATATACAGGGTAAATCTCTAAAATCGGTCGAGATTTTAGATATTTTTCATATAGATTCGTAAACAGAACATAGGTAGATAAGATTCAGAAAGATTTATTCAAGATAAGATGTAAATTTATTTAATGAATACAAATCTCTAATATGAATAAAACTGTAAAAGTTACATAAATCGGTAATCTGTATCCTAATTAAAAAAATATTATCATAGTTGGTATTCCAACATCAAGGCAAAAAAGTCACTGCATGATAAAAAAATAAGGCAAAAACAAAACCACGAAAAAAAACAGAAAAAAATCCTCTCAGTGAAGGAAGTTAATGATTCCTAAACTGATGTTGATCAAAACCAAATCAAAAGGAATGAAAAAGTCAGTAGGCATAACAATAAGTAGGTATAGATATAATTACTAGCTTCTTCATAAATCTTCAGAAATATACCATGAGAGAAAAAGGAAGTTCTTTTAAGGACATAAATTTTAATAGGGGTACTTCCTTCTTCCATTCCATTGTTTTTGTTTCTTCCTATAATGTAGGGGCAAAGGGGGATTAGGGGAATCGAAACTAAAACATACATGATATCTATGATCATCCTGAGTTTTTGCTCAATTCAACAATGATAATGAAATTATACTAAGAGGCCATTTGTTAGCTAAATGGATGAAAGAATCAATAAGTTGTCTGCAGTCTTGATACATTGTCTCATTCATAGTTGACAAATGGGTAGGTATAGGCCAGCCAACTAAATCCATATCTCAAACTGGTTAATAATAATAAAGAAATAACAGATGATATATGTATGTATCTAATATTTATATGTACAGCAAATAGCAATCACAGTTACACACAACCATTTCATAAAATAGAACATCTATTGTAATTGGAAGCTAAAGCTAATTATTATTAATTTAAAACCTATTATTGTTACTGGTAAATACTTCCAGAGCAGTCTATGCAAATTGATAGTATTACATCATGAAAATTGTTTGAGGAAAAAATAAGTGGAAAATAAAAAGAAAGGATATTTGTATATAGGTCTTGATTTAATGTTTAGCTAGGATATTATTGCAAAAAGAGTGTATACAATATTAGAGGAAGATGTAAGTACATATGAATTTGAATTTTCAGTTTCAGAATAAATAAAGGTAACTTTCAGATAGAATTATTGTTACCCTTAACTAACACTAACATTATTTAACATTCATAGTAAATAATTATTGTACTGCCAGTATTATTGCTATATGTTCTATTTTACAAATGTATCATAATATTAAGTTTATATTGAGATAAGTAGTCCAATTAGAAAGGATGAAAAAATGCTACATTTCAAAAGAAATCTGAATAGAATATAAGAAAAGTATATCACACCTCTAATAATGCATCTAAAAAGTAGGAATTTGAGTATAAAAATATAATGGTCCCAAGTACAAGCCATTTTTTCAATTGAATTTGAAAAATTCTAGTTTTTTCTCAGTCAAAGAAACTAAAAAGTTACCACTTTGAGTCTGGACACCTCCCAAATCTAGAACAGCATCATGAGCAGGAATGGAATGAATTCTCTGACCAGTATTTATGCTCCACAAATGAACACATTTACTGGACTCTTGATAAGCAGCTACATATTCCTGCTGATCTCTCACAAAACAAGATTTACTTAGTAACTTTTGCATCCCACCTCCCTGAAAGCTGTGAATTAAGTTACAGTAAATTTGCTCAGTACTTGTTTTTTCTAATGTGCACAGAGAATGCCTAGAATAAGGTATCCTGTTATTAGGTCTGGAAGAAATTAGCAACTGCTGAATATCACTATTATATTTCATACTGACAAATGGACCCTCCACAGCAAGAGAATGCCTGTGAACATCACTTTCAGAATTACTTCCATTATTTTGAAAAATCCATATGGAGTTCAGTTTACATGATATCACCAAATGATTGCCTGGTTGTAGAGGAACTGAGGCAACTGAAACTACTGGAGACATATCACCAGGTACAGAAAAAGTGCAAACAGAGTTGGTTGCTACACGTACATCATATTTCACCACATCTCCTGACTGGGTGCCAATATATAACATGTAAGGGTTGTCCCTATCCCAACAGCATGACCAGAGAGGCATTGCTTGTGAAGTAGTAAATGTCACAGTATTACTCACAGTATCAATTACTTTGAATGATTTGTCCATTGATGCAGTCAAAACACAATTATTATTCATAGGATGGAAACTAATATCCCTGATCTGTTGGTTGTGTAATGGGATGAAAGCTAGAGGTCTATATTGACTCATATTGAATTTTCTAATACCAAATCCACTGAATAGATTGTTTGGAGACTTGGCAGATGCCACAATCAAATCAAGAGCAGCACTAGTATCAAAAACTCTACTACTATTTTGCCTACATATTTCCAATGATTTGTCCATGAACAGTCTAACAGAAGAAGTGGTTGCACTGGTTCTATTATTGTGAGATGGCTGCTGATCCACCCTGCTATTTGTGCTGAGCACCTGAATATGTCTCCTGAGATCTAATATTTCTTGGTTCAAAACATGTTCCCTACATACATACTTGGAGAGTTCTAGTGACATCTTATTTTTTTCTTCAATTAATAAATCCAACTGATTCTTCATCATGTCTATCTCACTGGTGTCAACTGCTACAAGCTTCTTGGCATAAATAAACCTTATATCAGTTTTGTTGACCTTTTTTTTACAGGTTGGACATGACCTTTTCTGTTGACTATCAAGCCAGCGATTTATACAATTGTAGCCAAAGAGATGACCACATTTCAGAGCACAAATTCTGTGGTCCCCAGTGTTTGTCCAGCTATCAAAGCATATAGGACACAAGGCACCATCCTCTTCATAGTTGTTTGCACTATTCTCGTTTGTCTGAGACTTCTGAGAGACTTCATCATTGTGTTCATCTACCTTTGGTTCCTCTGAAATTGAGACAGTTGGTGATGCATTAGGAATAACATCAATGAACTCTACATCGTCTGCTGAGGAGTGTTCACTTTCTTGTTGAGGGGCACTATTGGAAGAATTTTCGATTACAACTGTGTTATCAGAATCTACATCCATATCATCAACTGCATTTCTGTAAATCGTGTGCTTATGCTTATGAATGAAGCAAGACGAACCTTTACTATTTCAAATAGCAAAGTCCAAAATTTCTTAAGTTTTCACACAGTGAAGACCATTTTTTGGAAAAATGTGAAAATGTGACTGTCTATTTTGATTTGATTATTTTTTTCCTTGGTACAGAACACAAAACTGTTTGCCGTCATCTTAGCTGTCAGGTTACAAGATCGCGGAATTCACAGAACTATATTTTCAAAGTGGAAAAGAACACAGGCGGCTAACAAACCCCAAAGGCCTGTTCGCTGTTTCTGCATGAAATTCATGGTAAAAACTCTTTGAACTTGAAAAAATTGACAGTGCTGATGAAATCATTAACCGTTTCTTGAATTTAGATGGCGAATCAATAACAAGTTCTTCTGACGAGGATCAATCAATGTAAAATCAATGTAATGTAATTTAGGACTGTTCGTTGTTCCTGCATGAGATTTATATTGTACACTACATATTTTCACAATACACTTTTCGGCTAGGATGAGTGTAGTGTAGTGGAGTGTGGTGAATATATCCTGTTCGTTGCTTGTGGTGTAGCAAAGGCGGCTAAATATCTAGACTGTTTGAAGGGTTATAACCCCGTCTTGCGTCAGGCAGTCTAGATATTCAGCCGTTATTGAGTAGGCCCCTTTTTTTGTACGAAAAGTGTAAGACATTCGAAAACTTCGTGTAATTTACACCGCATTTGAGCATTCTTTCGGAAAGTGCATTTCACACCAGTGTGGTGTATCTCCACCTGGTCTTGGGCAGGTGTGAATGAGGGCTAACATTTTCACTCTCACCAGTTGGCGTTACTAAAACATGAGGTCAATGTCAAAATCAAAAATCCCAAATTTTGCCGGATAGCCCTAAAAGCTTTGGCCTGTATTATCGAAAATATTCGAAAAAAGATGGTGTAGGATATTTAAACAAATAGAAAACCTCAGGTTATCGAGACGTGAGCCGTCCCAGGTTTTTTTAATGTCAATATGGATTTTACGACCAATTCTTACATTGACGGAGAATAAGATATCATAGCAAAAGGCCAAATGACACGAAAATAAGGAGTATATTAATCTGATCTACCCCCATAAACAGGCTCTAACAACCCTGACCTCATGTTTCGCTGGTGCGGTTAGGTGAAAGGATGAATAAAATCGCGATAAATGACTCCAAATAGATGTGTGATTATATTTATAATTGATATACTATACTGGAAATCCAGTTACATCAATTACCGCATTCAAAAATTCAAATTGCACTTTTCCGCTGCAAAACAATTTTCTTCGTTCGTTTGAAATTCGTTGGCGTAACTGCACGAAACCAGGTTCTTCCGTCTGCTTTTCAGCGTCGTGTGCAATGCACTACACTATATTTCGTGCAGCTGCACCAATGAATTTCAAACGAACGAAGAAAATTGAATTGAAGATGAAAAGTGCAATTTGAATTTCAAAATGCGATGTTTTATGTAACTGATTTCCCAGTATAGGTGTATTATCTATTATAAATATAATCACACATGAATTTTGAGTAATTTTTGGAGATTTTATTAGTTCTTGAATTTGAGTGTAATTCACACCTGCCCAAGACCAGGTGGAGACTCTGTTGTTAAATGCACTTTTCAAAAAAATGTTCAAATACGGTGTAAATTACACGAAGTGTACGAATGTGCTACACTTTTCGTACAAAAGAAAGGACCTACTACTTTTAGCTGATTCACAGTGTAGTGCATTTTACACCGCACAGAGAAGCAGATGAACGACTGTTACCAAGTGTCACGACTGTCACGAGTAACTAACCTAAAAACTGAAAATTCAAATTTTTCTTCTCGTCTCAATAATTTTTCATTTTTTTGCGCATTATAACGTTTTAAAAGCTTTGTTGCAGTCAGTTGGTAGTTGAACTAAGAACAAATAAAGAAAAAATCTTGAAAATGAGTGGTATGCCAGTTAGTTCCTCAACACTTCTACCCTTGGGTAAATTAATAAGTTGGACATCTTCATGAAAAATATCTATATTCCCTCACTATTGGTTTTTCAGAATTGGTAGACAAATGTATTGGTTCAAGAATACATATCATCATGAAAAATGATAAAGAAATTGTGGGAACATTACTAGGGTTTGACGATTTTGTCAATATGCTATTAGAAGATGTTACAGAGTATGAAACCACTCCTGAAGGCAGAAGAATAACCAAGCTAGATGAGATTCTACTGAATGGAAATAACATAACTATGGTAAAGTATTTTCTACAACTGCTGAGGAGTAAATTGAAAATATCATTTAGCTTTAACAGAGATAAGTTACCCACTTAATGAAGTCAATATATATTATAGTCCTTAGTTATGAGACCTTTGGAATTCATTAGTTAACCTGTTATATTTCTGTTTATATGTACCTATCTTCTTCATATAGAGATTAATTAATCAATATGATCAAGAACTACTGTCTCAAAAAAATCAGAAGATATTTTAGTGTTTGACATTTACTGCAAGTGTTTGTCCATTGCTGATGGGCACTGTTTATCTTCAATTCATGAGGAAATATAATTTCAATTTTCAATGCAAGATATACTTAATTGTAATTAATATAAGTATGTATATCTACTTACTTTGGGAATATAACTGATTTAAATCTCACAATATTATAATGAGTTCCATACATTCACTGGGATCTTGGTAACTGTGAGAAATAGAGAGTTGGTTAAATTACCAAAGTTTAAGCAAATTCAATTGTGATTCAGAATCTGTCAATCTTGACTAGCCTCAGACATTTCTGAGTTATTCAAGAAAAAACTGAAATTTCTGGAAAACTATTGGTTGTATGAAAAGATGACTTCAAGATTATGACAGTACCTTTTAGTGATCTTTTGAATGGTTTATCAAACTAATACCATCCACTGATTTATTTTTGTTGATTTTTGAAAGAAAAAAAAAGAGAGGTCATATCTCAGAAATTTTTATCAAAAACTGACAAAACCATTCAAAATATATCACTTAAAAGTACTACAAGAATGTTGAAGCCCTTTTATCATACAATCAATAATTTTCACCTAGATCACAATGGTGAGTATTGAATTTGGGACACATTGTATGTCAATATTATATGACTATTCCATCTCAATTCCCTCTATACTATTTCAATAATCAAACAAAGTACTTATAGTAAAAGCACATTTAGTATTAATTTATTGAGTATTTTTTTTAACTTTATTCAAGTAGAAAATAATATTCAATTATTTACAAAGGTTTTCTTTTTGAAATCTACAATACCAATAATTGCTGAAAAACCATTTTTATCTTGAAAATGTCATTTTGTCATCAATCAATATATTAGATGGTTCACCCTGGATGCCTGGATGGCCTGATCTTCAACCAAAATAATTCATAAGGTCAACTTATCCAATGAAGTTTTCTCTAATAAATATATCTTTGAAAAAAAAAAAAAACAGAACTGTGAGTTTATCTTCTAAACTGAGGGTTATGTTGTTTGACAACTTGTCATGATTGTGAAAAATTCAGATGGAAAGATTTTCACTAGAGTCACTAGATGGTATTGTATATAACCAATACTATCCAGTGACTTTAATTTTCACTTTCCTTGTCTTCAAGTTGCTAAGTACATATTTATGTACAGGGTGTTGCTGAAAGGTCTGTACAAAATCTTCCTAAGGTCGAAATAAGCCGACTTGAAGCAATTTATCAAGCCGACATTGCTCTGAGATACAGGGTGGTGAAGATAAAAAATAAAAATCAACATGGACAATCCAAGAAAGTATTATGCACTGCTAATCCACTGATCAAATTACATCAATGAAGTAAGAAATTACACTGAGAAAGAGGTATGGCCATTCTAAACCATAAGAATCCATTGGTAGGTGCCCTCTAATGGCCACAATGAAAAGATGTCCATATTCGTGTTTCACATAAAAAAAACCTGTATATCAATTTCAAAAATTCTGAGAAATTCGATTTTTATTCCTGAACTTTATCACCCTGTATATTGGAAACAGAGCAATTTCGGATTGAGGTAAGTTGCTGTGAATGGACTCATTTTGACCTCAGGTATATGTGCTGAGATTTTATACAGACCTTCCAGGGAAACCCTGTATAAAATTGTATCATTGGAAATGGATATAATTTTTTTTTCTTTTTCAGCTGGTACCAGGAGGAGAAATGCCTGAATGACTTGGTATAATTTTTTATAAGTTTTTTACAATCAGTATGATGTTTAATTTAATATAATATAGGTCAAGGATGAGATAAGGAAGAATTGATTTAATATCACTTCCTCTTATCAACATGGAATATTTTTTTATAATGCATAAAATAAGGGTTGATCTTGAATCACATTCAATGTTGTTTACTTTACTTTTGAAATCATTAATTCTTTGGTGCCGATTTTTCAACGTCTTTAGTCACTAAAAAAATGGGATTGAAGATATTTTACAGCTCAATGATGAATCTCGAAACTGTTTCTAAAAAAGTTATCTGAAGGAAAACACAATGTTGAATTTTTCAATTTTAATTATTTGTAATAAGTAAAGGAGGTGAATAATTTAAGAAACATAAAGAATCATGAGTACCTCAATAATTACAGATCTTATGTACATAATAGGTGTTACATGTCAGAGTTCAATTGAAATAATAAAAGTGTAATTGTAAAACAATTATAAAAAACTCCTAGATCTTTTAGCAGAATGAAAGTACTAAAAATGTTTACTAACTAAAGAGTTGTTCCGTTGCCCGTTCTATATCCCAATTATACGAGGAAAGTGCAACTAGAGCCTGATGGTCGTCAACTCCCATATCTACAAGCCTCTTAATCTTGCTATCACAATCAGTATTTACATTGGGACCTGAAATAATTATAACTTATCATTACAAGCCAGCTCATCAAAACGGCGTTAGGCGTATTTAGCTCTTGTATTTTATTCCTGCCCATTCATAAGTCATTTTGATTCCTAAATCCTCGTCTCAGTACGGATCTGCTTGTGCGCATTAGTGCTTTTACAGTAGAAATATACAGCAGCGCATGAACATAACATTGATGACGCAAAGATTTCACGCGCGCCTCTGATGGTACAATTTGGAACTGAGGATATTGAGATAAAGAACAAAGATTACATAAAAAAACATGCTTGAAAAATGTTGCCACTAGTACCGACTAGAGTTCCTAAATGTACTTGACACTGCTGATTTGACGTTTTTTTTATATGGGTTGCGTGCAAGAACTGTCAGATGACCGACGCTGGAGGCAAAACATTGAAACAAAACGTCACTTTTCTTACTTGTTTACAAGTGATCGAAATAGTTTTCCACAATTATTTTGGCATATGAATCTTATTTTTTTTAATTTCGACATATAATTTGACACTTCAAAACTGACGGAAGATTTGAAACGTCTTACTTTACGTAACCAGTTGCGTAAAGTAAAATTTTACATAACTGGTGATGTAAATGTTCATTTCAACACCAGTTTTTGTGTGAAGAGTCGGCAGAACTCATGTAAAACTGGTCATTATTTTCGTTCATGCGAAATGTTTCGTCAAAATTAGAAAAAATATTGTACGTGACACGTTAGGAAACGCCATTTTTTGTAATTCTGTGATGTTGCAGGATCTCGCTTCGCTCGTCCCGCAAAATCCCATTGTTACACAAAACAACGCGATTCCTAACTGATTACGTAAATATCTATTTCCGCTATTCATCAATTCGCTCATGCCATCACATTGTGCTGTTGTAAAATGCACAAAAACTGCAGCGGAAGATGAAGGAATTCGGATGGTACATTATGATTTAAAAGTAAGTACCTACTATAGTCACTCACATATAGTTTTAATTTTTGAAATTTGGTTATTTCTCTGATTTCTCATCGGAATTCCTTCTGCAATAAGAGCTAATAGAAATATACCTGAAATTTCTAGAATAATGCAAGAAGATTGGATTCATGCAATCAATCGGTAGGAGTGGTCTGACATGCTGACGATCGTGTGTGTTGTAGACATTTTCAATCTATTAGCAGCATTAGCTTGTATTGCAGAAGTGGTAGAAGGCAGAAGGAATTTTAATAAGGAATGACAACATTTCATAATGCTAACTATGTGAGATTACTATTTACCTGAAAAATCATATTCCCTAGTCTCTTGCTGCATTTTTTGTGCATTGTACAACAGCACAATGCGAAGGCATGCTTGAATTAATGAATAACGCAAGAAACACGATTCTTATGCCAAAATATTGTGAAAAACTATTTCAACCTTTTGATTCCTCTGTAACCAAATAAAAAAGTGAGGTTGTGTTTCAATAATTCACAGAAGAATGAGGTTGTGTTTCAATATTTTGCCTCCAGGGTCGGTCTTCGTGCACGCGACCTATAGGTCTGAAACACAACCTCATTCTTCTGTGAATTATTGAAACACAACCTCTTTCTTCTGTGAATTATTGAAACACAACCTCACTTTTTTATTTGGTTACAGAGGAATCAAAAGGTTGAAATAGTTTTTCACAATATTTTGGCATACGAATCGTGTTTCTTGTGTTATTCATTAATTCAAGCATGCCTTCGCCTTGTGCTGTTGTACAATGCACAAAAAATGCAGCAAGAGACTAGGGAATATGATTTTCAGGTAAATAGTAATCTCACATAGTTATCATTATGAAATGTTGTCATTCCTTATTAAAATTCCTTCTGCCTTCTGCCACTTCTGCAATACAAGCTAATGCTGCTAATAGGTTGAAAATGTCTACAGCACACACGATCGTCAGCATGTCAGACCAGTCCTACCGATTGATTGCATGAATCCAATCTTCTTGCATTATTCTAGAAATTTCAGGTATATTTCTATTACCTGATCCTATTGCAGAAGGAATTCCGATGAGAAATCAGAGGAATAACCAAATTTCAAAAATGAAAACTATGTGAGTGACTATAGTAGGTACTTACTTTTGAATCATAATGTACCATCCGGATTTCTTCATCTTCCGCTGCAGTTTTTGTGCATTTTACGACAGCACAATGTGATGGCATTAGCGAATTGATGAATAGCGGAAAAATACCATTCATATGCCAAAATAATTGGGGAAAACTATTTCGATCACTTGTAAACAAATATTTGTTTTGCCTCCAGGGTCGGTCATCTGACAGTTCTTGCACGCGACCTATTAGAGTACGGACACTATGACAAGCACTGACAATCAGACATAACCATAAATAAATTGATGGTAAAAGCGGGAACTGACGGTACTCGGACGTACATGACATAAATTTCAGAGGTTAGGAGAAAGATGCAAGTTTGTGCAGTTTCCTACTGTGAGAACACGGGAAATCAATTCACTCTATTCGAATTTCCATCGGATAACGTAATTCTACAAAAATGGAAACAGAATATAATGTGGCCGGCATGGAATATAGGTTCAGGCCACAAAATTTCTTGGTAGGATATAGAACATTTTTCAACGCGTTTTTATCAGGTACACTTCAGAACGGAAGATTTGATGTTGAATAGGATCGTATTGAGAGAAAGAGCCGAACCCACAGTTTATAAACTGAGCGGTTATGGAAAAGAACCTTATTCCAATTTAGAACCAACAAGAAACTTGCAGATAATGAAATTCAGTTCTTACCTAATTTAAAACAAAAAGACTTGAGAATCGAATTTTTAAAGCAGGAATATTCAAATTCCAAGGTTTACCTTGAAATCAACTGAAAAATTCTTAAAAAATATGGAATATGGAAAATTAGTGCACTCGCCTATTCTATCGGATCAGGAACTGTTAAATGGGGGCTAACATTTTCAGTCTCACCAGTAGGCAAATATTCGGAAAAAATGATGTAGAATATTTGAACAAATGAAAATCCTCAAGTTATGGAAATACTTGTGTAGACTTATGCTTTTTTACTTTCGATGTGGAACTTTACTACCAATTCTTACATTGACGGAGAAGAAGTATATTTATCAGTTCTACCAACTCTGAGCTCATTCTTCAGTAGCGAGATCTGGAGGACAATAAATAATGTTAGCCCTCAGTGAGCTCTTCCTTATCTTGATTGATTGAAGTCAGATAAATCTTTCCTTGTCTAACATCTAGTTTCTGCCACTGAACTATTGGAATCCAGCAGAGTGTCAAATTCAAGGATATTAACAAATGATGTGAAATCAAAATAAGTTTGATTTTTTATTTCAAAAAATGGAGAGGTTATCAGTCAATGACATTCATGACAGACATATCACATCATATAACATCGGAAATAGTTCAGTGGTGCAGACTAGAGGTTAGACAAGGAAAGAGTTATCGGATCTATACATATGTATATATGCGGCCGTTGGTAGCATTGAAGTGAAAGATGGAAGAGGAGAGAACTTTCCTCTCGTTTGAGGTAGGAAAGAGTTAAATACTTAAACTGATTCCGGTGGCGGAATCGGATAAATAACACGCAACTTATTATAGACCTTTACTTTTTCAAACTGTAATTGACATTGACATAAGACAATGCATCTGACAAATGACAGTCTTTGATAGTAGTTGCTGCCCAAGGCTATTTAACTCTTTAAGGTTGCCCCATATTCACCTAGCCTGACGTCACTGTTTCCCCAGTCGTCTTTTGTCGAACGGCAAAATGAAAATGGCGGAGGTGATAAACAAAACAAACAAATTTAGCATTGTGCAATCCAGTGAATTTTGATAAATTTTGAAGTTTTCCAATATGTTTTTGTATCCACGAGATAGTTCACTGTTTTCCCAAAATATGCAGCAAGTACGAAAGACTGAAAACAGAAATCTAGAAAGATATGTTATGTTCCTCAGTGCTCCTGTTGTACAGACACATTACAGAAACTCTGTCAAATTCTTATTGCAATATCACTCCATTAGGACTGATTACTGTTGGCATTTAATGATATGAAGGTTGAGCTACTGATAAAGCATTTTTTAATAAAGAAAATGTTATTGGGAAGTCTGAACCTAATGATGGAATCATGGTGGATAAGGCCATGCTGACAAGGGATGTGAAGAAATATCTTGAAATTGATTAGGCCATCATTTCTGAGAAACAAGAAACAATTAACTAAAGAGGATTTCCATCTGGACAAATTGAATTATTCTAACTCAATGGTTTTAGTTCAGTATCAATTTGGAACATATTATTGTTTGAAAATGAAATAATAAGAAAATAAATCAATAAAGAAGTCATCACAATTCATTCCATTTTATTAATGCAATTAAAGTGCAACATAATGGAAATATCTTCAAGATATCTTCCTCATAAGATTAACACAAAATGTTTCATAAAATTAACTGGAATCTCTATGTAAGTTTTGGAGGAAGAAGAATTATACAAGAAAATTAGTTTCTTTCAAGTTCATTAGGGACATTTTAGGGCCATTATTCCCAACTGAATTTATCCATAATAAGTGTGTCTCTCTTCCAACTTCACATTTTTTCGAATTCAAATTTAAAAATTTTTTCACTCCATTTGACAGTGACAAAACGAAATCTACAATCATGTGGCGGGGAAACAGTGACGTCACGCCCCTCCGCGCACCCCCGCACCATAATGCTATACTATGAGGTAACCTTATAGAAGTTAATAGACCTTGGTTGCTGCCAACAAATAGCACAAAATGTCTGACCCTTTCCTAGTGAAATATGGTCAACTGTTTCAAAACTACTATCTTCTGTTTTTTTTTTTTTTCAAATCAAATGGTCACACAAATATAATAGTTATTTATTATACAAGGGAAAAAAGTAGTAGATTTTAGCTCCATCTTTATCATTCTTTTGAAGTTATAGAATAAGTGTCAGTCCAATTCTGTGATTTTATTTGAAAAAATTGCAAATTCTGTGGTTTTTTAGTAATCTACATAACCATGAAGTTGAATGGAGATGGAGGATAAAAGGACTTGTAGTTATTTCTGGGAGATGGTGTTATTGGCTTATTTTTCAGAAGGGAAAAAAGTAATTTATGAAGATTTTATAACCTGTCAACAGAGAGGAAATTTTAAATTTTTTCCTGTCACACAAAAAAAATGTATGATTTTACTGCAAGTTTACCTCCTGCATACATGCTGGTCCAGTGTCTGGCTGTTAGCTGGAACATCTCCAGATTTTCCTTATACTGTCTTGCTACTACAGCATCTTGGGGGTCATCAGGTTCTGCAGCAGATAAAAGAGCCTGTAGGGACAGAAGAACTGTTCTCAATGTCATAGCTGCAGCCCTGAAAATGTATAATAATAGTCATAATAACAAGCATAATAATCTCAGTAGATAAACAATTCCAATATCAATCTCAAAATACCTATTGGAATGATACCAGAAAGATATGCCACTGATGGAGATAGATAATCAATGCCAATAATGAATACATATAAACAACATACCACTGATCTTTCAGGATATCTAAACATATTGCTCCTGTCACAGAGGAAATATTTGGATGCCATATTTTTGTGATAAAGCGGACCTGAAATGGAGTGAATGTTAATTAACAACTTATCACCAACTCTATAAGAATCCCACTGCTCTGTTAGTCTTATTTTGTTTTACTCTTGAATTAAAGCAATTTCAAGAAGCTACTGAGAATAATTATGCAAGTAGGTAAAATTATTGGTTCCTAAATTCATAAAAATTATGAATTCAACCATTGTTCATGAATATTTACTTATGGAATTACCAAAAAACAAACATTGTGAGTGGGCAATTAGGTATGTAGGTACTTTACAAAAACAAACCTCTTGAACAACCTTGGTTATTACTAATTACCATTTTCACATAATTATTATATTATTACCTTTGGAGGGTTGAAAGGATATGTCTCAGGTACTCGGATTTCTAAAACAAAGTTCCCTCCTTCATAAGGAGTATCTGGAGGACCAGCTATCTCACCTTTCAACTCTGTGTAATTGTCATTCAACAATTCTACTTTGATGGCACATTTTGCAACCTGAAATTTAAAATAATGATGTCATGATATAACTACCATTCAGAATGGTACCTCTTCGCTCTTTACTACTTCTTTGAATTCTCTTTTGATTCTTTGTGCAGCTATATTGGCCATTATTATCTATACACTATTGATGTATGAAATGAACATTTGATATTTCCACTGCCTCAAAGAACAAAGATATTATTCATTTATTATTATCTCCAAAACCTTCAAACAGTTTTTAGAATATCTGTGATCTCGGTGATATTTTTGGTACACTTGACAATTTGGAAATGAAAATCAGAAAATTTATAAAATTAATTCTAGATGTCTGTCTGACTGGTATGTAGTGTTTGAGGTGTCTATGTGACCGACTCACGGTCTTTTAATTGAGTTGACTTTTTTTTACCCGCTTTTACAGTGACTCTAGCTTTTACATGTTTACATCACTCGTCTTTTGTTCTGTTCGCGGTAGCTAAGGTCATTAACTGACGTTGCGATGACATGATGAGTACGGGAAAACATGTCAATTTCAACTTAAGCCTGCAGAGAATACTTATTTAACCAAATAGTGTATTAATCGCCTTTTGATATACAAGTTGGTTACAAAATTTTTCCGTCGACTATATTTCTCTTTTCTCCTGCAATGAAGAAAACTTGGTTCGCGAATTCATCATTCATCCGGAAACTGCTAAGAATCACCCAGTAGCCTTGTTACTGACATTAGTGACATTTTTTGACATTTGTCGAAATGATCAAAATAGAAAATAAATTCCTTGTGTTAGAAAACAGGGATTAAAATCGTGTCAGAAACTTGTAAAGGCTCGATTTAAATGCAAATTCCGTTATAGCATAAACAATGCATGCACGCGGTGTATGTTTGGTTGCCTATTAAACAATCGTGCATTAATAGACAAATCGTTCATTAATAGGGGTCATTAATGAACGATTTCATAAATATTAAACTTATTCGTCGACGGAAATAGTTATTTGTTTAACTAGGCAGCAAAGTAGTAGATTGACTGCCGAGGCTGAATTCATAGCCGAGCGTAGCAAGGCTAGAAATCCAGCCAAAGCAGTCAATCTACTTTGCTGCCGAGTTGAACATATAATTTTTTCTCCGATTGGCAGCAAATATTAATTTTGCTGACACATATTAATCAGCAAAGTATTACTTTTCCTGCCTAGGCAGCAAAGTGGTTACTTTGCTGATTGATATGTATCAGCAAAATTAATAATCCATAAATCGTTTATAATTTCATCCGAGACTTCTCCGGCAACAAATTCAACTCTATATTTTTTGCCACCTCCCTTATTTCTGGAGGTTTAAGTACTTCCAGGTCGATCACTGTCCATTATATAATAATTTGAATATACCGATATTTTTTTGCACAACTGTCAAAAATTTCATGAATTGTCGTCAAACTATAATAATATGGACATTTCCATAGCAACCAACCATTATTCCAACAACTGCGATTTCTATCAAATTTTATTTTAATTGAACACTACAGGAAAAATAAAGAGATATATATATCATTATGAACAATCGGAGAAAAAAATGTTTTCCCGTAGTTTTCTTGTCATCAGAACGTCAGATAATGACCTTGGCTACCGCTAACCGTGAATATTAGTTGTTGGCAGAACTGATGATTGTTGGTAACCCATCCGCAACTTCAAAGTTTGAATATAAAATTATTTGAGAGCTCATGGCAACACCTTGTGCTGTTGTACCTTCACTACAGGAACAGTCTGAGTTGAATGCATTTTTTTCTTAGTCAATTTGTTTTTCTCAATTATCTATGACGAAAAATTAATCTATTTAAATGTATTCATGCCAATCAAGCTTCCGAAGTAATTGGTCAATTTCTCTCTCTTTAGAAATGAAGAGATAATTCACGAATCATAATTTCATTATTTTATTCCAGTATTCTAATTTTAATCTTGTTGAAGCACCATATCAAAGTGCATAGTCTAGTATTTCCTACCAGACAGGATACATTGATTGTGAATTATTTATTATTTACTTTCTTTTCACCAATAGTTCCCTGTTTAATCTCAAATGGAAGAATAAACAACAGTGTGGTATATAAAATAAAACAATTCATTTAGTTTATTATAAAATTCAAAATATAAACAGTTCCATATAGTATATTCAATCTACATAACCTAACACCACAAAAGGCAACAATAAATTAAGAAAAAAAATGTGAGAAAGTTAGTAGATTCAACAAATAAAACCAACGTACAAGACGGACTTTCATATAATAAATGACAGATAACAATTCATTCCCTAAAAATATATAAAAAAAACATATGCTCAGTCTTCCGGCACCGAAAAATGATCGTTAGTTAGCGTGTAAAGGCGTTCTATGTACAATCTTTTGGCGTAGTTCATTTGCCGCGCGACCGAATTGGCCAAATCCGCCGTGCGGCATCTCACTCGGGGCTTCTTGATGGGATCGGGGTTCACCAGGGCCGCACTGACCCCCGCGTAGTGCATCACTATCTCGATGTAGTACCGAGATTCGTTTTGCTCCTTCTCAGTTATGACGTTGCAAGTTTCCAAGTTACTGTAATGAAAACGTTAAAATTCGTTGAGTCGTTCGAACACCTTTTAAATTTCTACTGCTACTTGTTTTTCCAGAATAAATTTCCTATTAAATGCTCCCGTATAAGCACGGCGAAAATTCGCGAAGGGCACTGACGTCACAAGTACTTTAGCCTCGAAATCCCACTATTTCTAAATTTATGTCATATTTTCGAAAATCTCATCTAAATTGCTCTCTTGTTGTGAAACTAGAATATTCCTCATGTGAATTGCGTATTATTTGAGAATGAATTATTTGGGTTCGAGACGCTTATTGATGGAATCGGGGTTCACCAACTGACTTCCGCGTAGTTCATCACTATCTCGATGTAGTATCGAGATTCGTTTTGCTCCTTCTCAGTTATGACGTTGCAAGTTTCCAAGTTACTGTAATGAAAACGTTAAAGTTCGTTGAGTCGTTCGAACACTATTCAAATTTCTACTGCTAGGTACTAGTTTTTCCAAAATACATTCTCTAATAAATGCCCGTGTATCTCTTCAATGATACCAACGTAGCCGCATTGAAATATAGAGAAGTCCTTTAATTCTGTCCTTGTCTAATGCCTAGTTTGTGCCACTGAACTATTTTTGAACTCAGCAAAGAGTCAAATTTGATGATATTAACAAATGATTTCAAAAGAAGTATGATATATTTCGAAATTTCATTTCAAAAATTCGAAAGGTTATCAGTCAATGACATTTATGACATAGACATGTCACATCATTATAATATCGAAAATAGTTCAGTGGCGCAGAGTAGACTGAATTCAATAAACTACCTGATAATATAAAAAATTGCAGAAATATAGGTATATTCAAAAATGAAGTAAAAAAACTGATTATTTCTGAGCGGACTGGATAAAATTAATCATGCCATTTTTTTTTATTTTTTTTTACAAATATTATTCTTTGTTTGCCAATTTACAGTTGTTGATATATTTTGAATGATGCTATGTTTACCTATAGGTATATAATTATGTACTTCCTTATACCAGAGCCTATTCTGTCTGGAAGTTATTTGTTCAATAAATAAATGAATAAATAAATAAATTTGGTGATTTGGTGATTTATCGGATCTCTCTATATTTCAATGCGGCCACGTTGCTAGTACTGAAGAGGAAGATGGAAGAGGAGATAACTTTCCTCTCTCTCGTTCAAGGTAGAAAAGAGCTCAATTGCTATCCTGTTGTTACACAATTTCGAAAAAAAAAGAAGAATATTCCTCATGTACAATGCGTATTATTTGAGAATATATTATTGGGCTCGAGGAGATTCTTGATGGGATCGGGTTTCACCAAGGCCGCGATGAACCTAGCGCAGTACATCTCTATCTCGATGTAGTACCGAGATTCTTTTTGTTCCTTCTCAGTTACACGTTTCCAAGTTGCTGCAATGAACTATCAGATATTTTTTGGGTCGTTCAACTATCCCTAATATTTTACCTAAAATAAATTCTCTAAGAAATGCTCTCGTTCGAACATAACGAAAATCCGCTAACGGTACCATTTATTGATAGATCAACGTTTGTTGAGAAAAATGAATTCAAACCTACAAAATAGTTATTTATTATACAAGGGGAGAAGTAGATTTTAGCTCCAGGTTGTGTTGTCTCCCGACGCGTAGGAGGGAGACAAAAACCACAAGCAAAAATATTATATTTTTCCCGTGTGATGTACATCCGTGTATAATACACTATTTTTTTATGTGATAGGAAAAAGTACGAATCAATTTTGAGAAGATATTACATTATATTAAACTCAGGAAATTATCGACGTGAAATTTGAAGTATTTAACAGGAATTACGCCTGCGTTGCAGGAATCTTGCAGGCATATTTATCATTCTTTTGAAGTAATCAAATACCTGTTAGTCTAATTCTGTGTTTTGATTTTGAAAAATTGCGAACTTAATGGCTGTTTAGTAATTTACGTAACCGCGAAGTGAAATGGAAGATAAATGGACTTTCAGTTCTTTCTCGGAGACGGTATTATTGGCTTATTTTTCGGAACTGGCACAACAAAAGCCATCAACAATGCTCCTATATATCCGGGAAAAACACTTCTCCCGTGGGAAAAAATAAATTATGAAAAGTGACATTTTGTAACTTGTCGACTGAGATAACTTTTTCCGTCACAGAAAAAACTACTTTATTTATCTGGACTACCGACATAACCTAGACCGCTATATGTCATATCTCCTTACCTCTGTTTATGAGATATATTCATCCCACTGACCTATAAACAACAAATGGAAAAAAATAAATGAGGATGCTCGAAAAACTTTCACGACCAACAATCTGGAAGCAAGTATACAATTGGTTGGGGCACCTGCGCTCTTTGATCTCTGTTGAAGTTTCGTTAGAGCACATGTCTATATTACCGGACAAACCCAATTTTAGGATAAACTAGTTTTTCCTAGGCTAAATCAGTATATCCGAAGAGCGATAGGATAAATTAGTGTGTTAATATTTTGTGAGGAAGGGAGTAGATCATTCGGGAATCAATCAGCTTGACTTGTTCCCGAATGATCAACTCATAGACGTGTATGTTCCTTCCTCACAAAATATTAACAAAGTAGTACGAATAAGTTTAGACTAGGAGAAACTAGTTCATCCTATCGCTCTTTGGTAACATATAACTCATACATTTAAGCATAGCTGGCTTCTCTGTAATCTCATTATCGATAGTCCGTCAGGTATTTTAACGTTGTTTATGTGTTGGTGTTGTTTGAATGTCCGCTGTTTTTGTTCCATAACTTACTGCATATTGAAGTAACATCGATTATACATCTATAATTATACCAAGGCCAGCCCAGTACGATGAGCCGACCGTGTGGTGTGTGACATGTGCGAGTTCAATTTCCATTTGTTGGTTATAGGTCAGTGGTCCAACCTTACGGAATTAAATCAATAAATTTTCGGCCGATAAATACATTACCATCATTGGGGAAAATTCTTGAAATTGCTGCATTCAATCAAATGAAAGATTACTTGGAATCTAATCAAATAATTATGAAAGATCAGTCAGGATTTCAACACAACCATTGATGTGAAACTACATTACAGTTCACATTGTCTAAGTGGAAACAAATGATGGATGGAAACAAATACATAGTAGCGATTTTTCTTGACTTCAAACGACATTCTGATTGAAAAATTAGATATTATGGCATAGGTGCAAAAAACGAAAGTGAATGAATACGTGTCAACTATTAAGGATATGAGCATAGGTGTTCCACAAGGCAGCGTTTTAGGACCTTTGTTGTTTATATTGTACTTGAATGATATAAAGCTTATTCATGGTATTGAATTCTTGAAACTTTTTGACATAGTCAAATTGATGTTCATGATTTGAATATTCTAATTTATGGAAGTAAAATAGATATAGTAACTGAAATTGAATATCTTGGTGTCATTGTCGATAACACACTCAACTTTAAATCTCATTTCAACTACATATACGATAACATTGTTGAAAAACTAAATTTTTTCTCTAGACTCAGCACTCATTTAGCTCTCCAATCATCTGTCATAGTTTTTCAGAACTATTATCCATTTTGATTATTGTCCAAGTTTAATCTCTCTATAAGATTACAATAGTTTGTCGTCGTTACAAAAATTACAAAATCGCGGAATGAGGATTATTCTTCAATGTAACAGATATACCCCTGTTAACATGATGTTATCTGTGCTCGATTGGATGTCAGTTAAAAAAAGAATCATGCACTTCTCAATGATATTCATTTTTAAAGTGGTTAATTGCGAGTTCCCAAAGTATTTCAATGAATTCATAACATTTAACCATCAAATGCATAATTATGAGACTAGAGGTAGGTTTGATTTTCATGTTAATCGCACTAGAACGAAGAGAACTATGAATTAATTATTCCATCAAGGTTTAGTAGAGTATAATAAACTACCCATGGAAGTCAAGATGAGTCCATCTATCTATACATTCAAATCAAGAATCAAAAACTTCTTAGCTGATTAGTCATCAATGTCATCACCTATAAATAATGCACTTGATATTTGTTTATTTTATAGTTATGTATATACATACATGTTTGCTTCTAAGTTATCTTTGTTCATCACATGATGAAAATAATAATGAAACTTTTCAATCTGACTTCACAAAATGCCACTATTATGTATTTCTGAATGAGACAATTATTCTCACCTTAAATCACACTCAATGATAGTTGTCAAATCCGGTAATCTTGTACTTGTTACTATTCTAATCATCTTGTCTGACACTATACATAGTAGATCTTCTGAGGCACTTCCGAGAACTTGGAACGATACCAATTGTTCTTCATAATTCCTGAAAAATAGGTAATCTACAATCAATCCATTTCAAATGGAATGAATTAACGTTCGATCATTAACCGCCACTCACTTTTCATTCACAGTATAGAGATACTGCTGCCCCTGGCTTTGTCTGGCATCATATTTTGGGAGAAGTCCCCCAGGTCCATTAACACATCTTGGAAATCTTATTCGGCCTGGCATCAGTTTACTGAAATGTTAATTATCAATGATACTTTTCAAATACACAGTGAGTACATGAATATAAAACAGATTAATCTAAAATTTATAATAATGTAGTTGATACATGAAAAACAGTTTGAAAATGGGAGACCCAATAGTGGAAGTGAATGTACAAGTTGCATTGTAATTATGCTGTGCTTTGAAAAATTATGTCAAATGCATTTTTGTTCTTGAACCGAAATACTAAACACTCATACAGGGTGGTCCAACGAAAACTTTACACCCCGATTTTATGCTTTAAAATGAATATCCGGAAAAACGCTCGGTCCCGTTGATTCCTGATTCGAGGGGGAACGATTGCTTCATCCCCCTAGATTCAACCTCCTACCAGGGGGAAACACAAGCTCCGGATTTTGAATAGGGATGAGGGGTGTTGCGATACCTCATTCTGAAGATTTCATCAAGTACTATCCGACACTCTTATTGAATGAATGAACTATCAGCCCCGGCAGTCAATCTACTACTTTCCTGCCTAGTAAAACAAATATTACTATTTTCTCCAAGTGGCATATTAGGTGGCTTTTCTATGACTTTTAACAGACAGGAAAGGTGTACATTCTCTGCCTAGGCAGGAAAAGTTTGTTGCTATGCAACGTTTTAACTAATTTTAATGAAATTGGTAATGAAAATTGACGCTGACATTGATTGAACACAAAATGATGGAGTTTTCAATAAATAAATTTCACAAAATTGGATTTATATCATTTGGAGAAGAAAATTATATGTTTCACACGGAAGCAAATGTAGATTGATTGTGTTGAAAAGGAATATTCTCAGATAAATTATGAACATACAAAAATGGATATATATTTATATAAAGCAATACATTGAGAATTCGCATTCTCTATGTGATGAGAATATTTACTCTTTTTCAGTTAATTCAATAGAAAACAACTACTTTCCTGGCTATATGCCACGACGAACATTGAATTATATCTATTGAACACACACGATAAGAGTTTGAAGATAAAATATAAAAATTTCTGAAATTGAGAATTTGCATTCTCCTTCAGACAAAAATATGTATATACACACATCATTCTGAATATTCAACAGAAAACAACTACTTTCCTGGCTATTTGCCACGTCGAACATTGAATTATATCTGATGAACATTCAAAAGGGGAACATGAAAAATAAAGAATAAAATCCTCCGAAATTGAGAATTGACATTCTTCTTCAAATCGGATGAATAATATGATGAATAATGATCTAGAAATATGACTTACCAATATATTCAGCATTGAAATGAAAATTGGAATGTATAGGAGAAGTATACTGGCATGAACTCTGATCTTGATGAGCTTGAACAAGATCAGAGTTCATGCCAGTATACTTCTCCTATACATTCCAATTTTCATTTCAATGCTGAATATATTGGTAAGTCATATTTCTAGATCATTATTCATCATATTATTCATCCGATTTGAAGAAGAATGTCAATTCTCAATTTCGGAGGATTTTATTCTTTATTTTTCATGTTCCCCTTTTGAATGTTCATCAGATATAATTCAATGTTCGACGTGGCAAATAGCCAGGAAAGTAGTTGTTTTCTGTTGAATATTCAGAATGATGTGTGTATATACATATTTTTGTCTGAAGGAGAATGCAAATTCTCAATTTCAGAAATTTTTATATTTTATCTTCAAACTCTTATCGTGTGTGTTCAATAGATATAATTCAATGTTCGTCGTGGCATATAGCCAGGAAAGTAGTTGTTTTCTATTGAATTAACTGAAAAAGAGTAAATATTCTCATCACATAGAGAATGCGAATTCTCAATGTATTGCTTTATATAAATATATATCCATTTTTGTATGTTCATAATTTATCTGAGAATATTCCTTTTCAACACTTTCATACCCAATCAGGGGGTTCAAACTTGAACGATGGAAACTTGTGATTTTTATAAACCTCTAATCGCAGATTCGTGATAGAGTCTCAATTCAGAATTCATTTCCACGCCCTGTATGATGAATGTCAATTTATCATACACCCAAAAGTAGATTGATTGCCTTGGATAAATTCCTAGTCTCGCTACGCTCGGCTATGAACAACTATCTACTAATTTGCTGCCTAGTAAAACGAATAACTGATCTCCTCATGAGTAGGAAGAATTTATGATTTTTAAAGGATTATTAATTAATCACAAAGAGAGAGAAACTCAAAGTCATTACCACAATAGTTCATAAAATAAATGAAAATGGTAGATAACGGGAGAAAAACAACTACTTTCCTGGCTATATGCCATGCAGAACATTGGAATACATCCTCCTGAAATGTATGCAATAATTCAACAATTCGTATAGACGAATAAAATTGCAAGTGTTTCTTCCTAAACGCTGAGATGCGGTTACTTTGGGCAGGTTCGCACCAGACAGCGGTCAAGAATGCTATCTGGGACAGCCCTGCACTGATGAGAGCCAGCAGCTCGAAACTGGTCTGCAGATAGTCACATGTTCCTGAACCACTTAGGCGCAGCTCGGCTTTTTCCTAGTTATTAATTAATGTTCAAGTTTTTCTAACGACTAGACTGCTATGATGCTTCAGAAAGATATTCCCTTCAGAAATATTTTTTGTATCGTGTCAATTTTTGATAAGTCTCGAGGTTCATTTGCAAATAAATAATTTCTGATATGATGCATCCTGAACATTTTTGAAAATTAATCTAATTAGTCGGACTGTTCATTGATCATGGCTACAATGTATTCTTATTGTTAACAAACTGTTGTTTCTGTTCCTCGCGGGCTTTACAAGAACTCTCGCGTTACAAATTTAGCGATAACTATTCAGGACCTAAGGTGAACACTTTAACGCCTTCTACCAACTCAACGAAACGATTTTGGATATAGGTAAGTTGGCTAAAATCAACTTATTTTCATCCCAGAAGTCTACAGTCAAGGTATGTCCCAACCAGATTATATTTCTAAAAAATGAATAAGATACCAACTCAACGAGACGATTTTGGATATAGGTGAGTTGGCTTAAATCAACTCGTTTTTATCCCAGGAGTCCACAACCGAGCCATGTCCCAACCTTTTACAGACACCCTGTATATGTTATTTTTGTTTTCGTCTTGGTGAACAATAAAAGTATTATTATTATTAATATTAATATTAAAAATTGTTCACCTTCTACTGGAATCTCTCACAGCCCTCGCTGTTTCGGAAGCGAAATCCAGCACCCCCACCACGGGCTTGGTCACTGCCCCGACCAGTCCTTTGCCGAGGCCGGAGAACACCCCTTGGAAACCCTCGTTCGAGGCGCCCTCGTACACCTGCTTGAAGATGCCGGTCGCTCCGCCCAGGATACCGAAGCCCAAGCCTTTGAATCCCGCCAGGATGTGATCGGAACTTCTACCGCTCTGCACCTGCCTGAAATCCGGCGGATGTTTATTTGGTGAGGGATTACATCTCACCTAAGGCCCGTATATATCCTTAAGGTCACTTCGTCCCTTACTAAGGCCCGTATTTAGTCGCTCTTTAAGGTGACCTCGTCCCTTAAGGCATCCTTAAGGACCAGTTTCCAATTTATAGACGTAATATGAGCTCGAAGGAAGCCTCAAGGAATTGTAAATTCCAAGGAAGGTAAAGATGTACCTTGAGCATTCCTTGATCCGATTTCTAGAATTATTTCATATTATTATATGAATTTCACGGGTTTGGATAGTGTTTGATTTGGAACGCTTTTCTGGATTTCATCGATGGAATGATGAAATTGAATGTAGTAATCAAATGAATATTCAAGTCTTGAAAGGACCCCGCACCGCATCAATGGGAAATTGGCTTTCGGTGAATTTACTCGAATTTTTGATATATTGTAGAACTCGTGGTGCTGATCAAATGTCTTCATTGCACCAACGCTCTAAAATCAACAGTTACGATTATACAGGGGGATAAAGTTGACTTTTCCAGAATTTTAGATAGTAATTGTGAAGACCCCTTTCATAATTTCGAAACCAAATCAACTGTGCATTGATTGTTCGAATGACCGATACGAATCTACTATAAACTATAATGATTCCTGCACGTACCAACAATATACAGGGTTGGTCGGAACATGGCGAATAATTCAGTGATTTTCGGAAAAGTGTGCGGTGGATTCTCATTTAAATTCTGTAGTATACAAATATCATCATCATTTCGTGATATTAGCATCTCCTAATCAGACATATTATATACAAGATTTTTTATTTTTGATAAAATCACATCCATGTTAGGTAACTATTATTGGCATCCTCATTATGACTTACAACTTGAACAATCTATTGGGAATCTCGTTCATTCCATGATGAATGTTCACCCTGCAAATACTTGAAATATACGGAGTGGACGAAAAATCAATGGTCTTTGCTAATAATTTCTCAAGAGTAGTATGTGCAGATTCTTTTAGCCCATTTTATTGACCCTGTTTCATAACGACATTATATTCAATGAAAATAATTTGAACCATTCGATGTAGTATATTTTTGATAATATGCAGGTATCATAGGTTTTTCAGGTGATAGTGAAACAATCAACAATAGGAAACAAGAACAATGAATATACAGTTATTATGGATAACAAAATATTCTGATATTCAATCACAACAAAAGATCTGTACCTTACATAGTATTTTACTTTCGTGTTATGACAAGCGATTATATTTCCTTGATCACTAATTCATGAAACGAATTCGTTTCACGAAATGAAAAAGTTGAATTTATTCAACTTCTTGAACAGTCTCCTGAATACAACTCGTCATACTCAATTCAAGAATACCTCAACCCTCAAACACTGCTGAAGTAAAGTAAACATAATAGTTAAAACAAAATTAAAGTAGTAAATAATATATTATGAATGACTAATTTCATGTATTCGTTTTTTCATTAGGTGTCATCATGTCAATGTCTTCCGGCATTGAATGCGATCCACAATTTATTGTTATTTCTTGGAATTACGGAAGCTTGAGTGAATTCTCATTCGTGAAAATCCATGAGCGTTCGTATTTGAATTGAAATTGATTTTCATCGTGATATCATATACATCTTTCATATGAGATCCTGCCAATTTCACCTGGTAGGTTTTCTGCTTCTATATCGTGGCTTATACTAAATTGACTCTGATAGCATTTTCTAACATCAAATTGGCTAATTATACATTGGCGTCTCTTGAGTCAAACAGACATACGTACAAAAATACATATAAAGATGAATCCAACTATCTGAAATACTCGGAAATACATACCTAATGTAACAATAAACAATACTATCTGGTTGGTTCATAAGGTAGTATGAAAATCAACACGATGGCATAGTTATTATATTTGAAAAGCACTCCTGACATTATAGCCGAGTTCATAACGTACTCAATGAAGATATAGAAGCAGCTATATTAGTTTCAATAAACATAAATATATAAATTATTCCAGATTTTTTGGGATTTTCTCACCTCGTTTCTATAAAATAAAAATATGAGTATCATTTCGATATACGTCTAGTAAGGACAAATCAGATGATTTGCCCCAAAGAAGTCACTATAAAAGAGTCTAAAACGAAAATTCACCAGTATAATGATGAATATTTCACCTCCTCAATTAACCTACAGACAGTATTTAACAAATGAATATATAAATCAGTTGGAAACATACACACATATCATCATGAAATCATGGTAATATAAAATAATAGAATATTGAGTGAGGACGAATGATGAATTTTTACAAATGCCGAATGAATCTTTGATTTCATTCAATTACGGTGATCTCTTCTTATAATGGACTCCATGTTCATCTTGATCATGTTAAGATTGCTCTGGTTCAAATAATGTAATATGGCAGGCACATAGCAACTATATTCATCTGTTTAACATTGTCATTTGCAACTATTGCATCTGTCAAGTTCATATAGAAGCCAAAGTAACAATTATTTGAAAAATGGCTAATCGTCTACGATTGAATTGTTTTACGTGTCATTCAGCATTCAATATACAAAATATGGTACTACTTGAGGGAGAACCAGATGAAATGAAGCGAGAAATCGCTATTGAAAGGCGAGACCAAAGGGGACTTCCACATGTTATTAAAAATATACTGCATCGAATGGTTCAAATTAGTTTCATTGATTATAATGTCGTTATGAAACAGGGTCAATAAAATGGGTCACAAGAATCTGCACATACTACTCTTGAGAAGTTATTAGCAAAGACCATCGATTTTTCATCCACTCTGTATATTTCACGGATTTGCAGAGTGGACATTCATCATAGTTTGTTCAAGTTGTAAGTCATATTGAGGATGCCAATAATAAGTACCTAGCATGGATGTGACTTCATCAAAAATAAAACATCTTGTATATAATATATATGATTAGGAGATGCTCATATCACGAAATGGGGATGATATTTGTATACAACAGAATTTAAATGAAATTCCACCGCACACTTTTCAGAAAATCACTGAATTATTCGCTATGTTCCGACCAACCCTGTATATTGTTGGTACGTGCAGGAATCATTATAGTTTATAGTAGATTCGTATCGGTCATTCGAACAATCAATGCACAGTTGATTTGGTTTCGAAATTATGAAAGGTGTCTTCACAATGTCTATCTTAAATTCTTCAAAAGTAAACTTTATCACCCTATATAATCGTAACTGTTGATTTTAGAGCGTTGGTGCAATGGAGACATTTGATCAGCACCACGAGTTCTACAATAAATAAAAAATTCGAGTAAATTCACCGAAAGCCAATTTCCCATTGATGCGGTGCGGGGTCCTTTGTGAAGAGAATCTGATTCTCGAGCATATTGTTTTTCCAGTAGAAGATGATTCAAGTTTAGTTGGAAAGTTTTTTTATTTCGAATAATAGGTATATATTACAAATAATGGAAACTCTGCATATTTACAATTATATATGTATAGGTATCATAACCACACAAAATCACAGATTCATTCGAAATATTCAATCAAATGGATATTCTTCCTCTCCCCGGCATATTATTCCATTGCCGCTTGAAAGAATCCGATTTTAAAAGAGTTAGATTTTTGTATCGTCATCGATAAACTCTTCAACCCCTTCTTTATTTTGCTGAACCTTGGATATATTTAGTCTGTGATCGAAGAAATATGTTGAAGGTCCAATTTGAACCAACCTTTGAAGATTATTACTGGATTATTAGAATCTTCCGATGTTCACAGTAAAAAATGCAAGTATTTTTGTCAAATTCGACATTTTACATTTTGTGACAAACACGTGACATGAAACAACAAATTTGGTCATAGAACACTAAAATTATACACTGTTGCCAAGTATGAGGGCTCCTTTTAGAAGGAATACTGAAGAGATGTCTATAAAACAAGGAATCCGCAGATAAGGAAGATTTGAGGAGTTCTTCAGGAAACGATTATAAATACGGGCCTAAAACGTTAGGTGAATGTCAAAGTCCAAAATTCCAAAATTTTGCCGCATAGCCCTTAAGGCTTTGGCCCGTTTCATCGAATATTTCACTCTTTATGAAATACACGTTTTTGATTGGTTGAAATGTCTGTGTTGATCATCGAAAACATGATGTTTCGTTTTTGTATTTCGGCAGTTGATTGGCTACTACTTGATACCTTATCCACAATGCTGAGTATTGATTTGTTAGTTGCATAAGCGTTCTGTTGATGGTCTATGGTTGATGAAGCGCGATGAAGCGGGTTGATAGAGCTTATTTGAATGGGCTTATATCACAAAAGAAATTCATTTCATAATTCGATACAACTCATCCAAACTAGCTCACCACCGCAAACCGTTTCTTGCTGTGAGCTCTTTACGTTCCATAAAAAATTATTGAAATCCCCGATTTTTCGGACCTCTGAAAACGAGGCGATGATGTGACGTCAAAACCCTAGTACTGAAACAAGACTATTCCAGACAGAGATGAATGATACATGATTTCTGACAGAGTGAATTAGCGCGAGATCACAGTTGAAAGAATTAATATATCAGTTGCCTCAGTCTCCGTCGGGCGTTTGGCATTTTTTTTAACTATGGCGAGATGAGGTTTCTACGTCATAAGAGGGTCCGTTTTCAGAAGGTACTATTATTTATGTCCAAAAATAAAACATTCCAATTAATTTTTCGATCGAATTATGTCGTCAATCATTATTTATGAATATAAGGATCATTATAAACACGGTTTGAGTTAAAAGTTCTACTAAGGTGTACACGCCCATTGATAGGACTGTGGCAGAAAAAGAACAAAGTTTGTTGATTCGAGAATAAAAGTCAATAAAGACATAAAAGGAATGAGAAAAGCCGTTTCGGTGATTACAATCTCGAAGAAATAAGAAATTAAATTAAAGATTCCATGTAAGAATGTACAAGGTGTTCAGCGTACCCAAGAGCTTTATTC